AGATTGTCTCCTACAGATAAACACCTCCAGACTGTGTAGTGAGCTCCAGACCTGAGAGAGACCCTGGCTTAAAAAACAAAAGGTGGACGGCTTCTGAGGAACCACACCCAAAGTTGTCCTCTGGCCTCCACACTCCAGGATGTGTGTATAAATATACTCACACACACACACACACACACACACACACACACACACACACACACACACACACCGCTGTCTCGCAAACATAATAACTAAAATGAATCTCCTTTGTTTTCCCTAACAACAATATTTTTGAGGCTGGCTTAGGAAAAAAATCATATGCATCTCTTTGAAAATGCAAATGCTCCTGATGGGAGTGTGGGCACTGACGGAATCCAGGGGAGGCAAAAAGGAGAGTTTCTATTATGTGAGGACTCTGGGCATCCTGAGAGAAGAAAAGTTCACTTCGGGATGGGTGGCCACAACTCCAGGCCTCCGACAGTCTTGCCTCCTATCCTGAACCTGGATCAATGTTGTCACTGGGGAACGGCTCCAGAACTTGGGCAACAAGTTTTAAAAACAGAGTTGTCAAAGTAATATTTCAGCTCTAAGGTTGGCCGAAAGATCTGTCACTTGGGGAAATGGAAAGGCCCTTCCTCTTGGAAGATCCATCATCCTTAGCTAAGCCTAGTGGGGAGGTCTTCACGCTGACTGGAACTACGGCAGCATCACAGGAATCCCTCCCTGAAGGTCAGCAATCCCTGGAGAGAGGGAAAGGGTTCGAGCCGGGAGGAACTGGGAGGAGGCACTAGCAGCAGCAGGCACGATGCAGAAGCTTTATGAAGGAAAAGGGAAGGTAGAAGCCTTCTTCTTCCGGGTCATACCCTGCACAGGTGTCATAGACCAGTGAGGTCATGGAGAAGTGGACTGGTGAAGTAAACTGGATCACAACCCCAGTCACAATGATAAAATCCAGTGAGGGGATAGATCCCACGCGTGACTGTGGCTAATACGACCTGAGGAAATAAGAGTTCCTTGAGGGAAAAGGATGTTAAATCGCTTCACCATTAATAAAACTACAGAGCAGGAAGTACACCTTAAAAAGAAAAAAAAAAAACCAATTCCTCCCACACCTCCGATACAAATCCCATCAAACCGCCTGACCCTTCTGTAATTCCCAATGTCCAGGTATCTGGCTTCCAGCCCAAACTTGGTTCGAAGTGTATTACTACGAAGTTGGCACCAGTCCCAGCTCAATGGAGTCTACGTATCCAATACCAACTCTAAGGAGAAATGTCAAGATGAAAACAGAGCAATCCTTCAAACCGGGACCCCTTTCTTCGTGTCCTGGGATGTTGTTTCTCGAACTAATTGTTATTGATCTAGAGACAGCTCATTCTCCTCTCAGGATACTCAATTTCCATACCCTCAGATGGAAGATTAAGTAGAGATGGACCTTAGAAACGTGTGTGTGTGTGTGTGTGTGTGTGTGTGTGTGTGTGTGTGTGTGTGTGTCGTGTACTATGTATATGTATGTGTGTGCAATGTGTGTGGTATACTATGTACATCTGTGTGTGCAGACAGGTATAAAGCCAAACAGTGGGTCATGTAGGAGAGCATCAAGCCTAAAATTTGGTATTAGAGAAAGGATTGACAACCCAGTTTGTCTAAGAAATGTAGAAAGAATTTTGGAAGATTTCTAACTTCGTCCAAATTCGCAGTGGTAGGACCAAGTACAAAACCTCATTTCATAACTTTTTCTTACTTTTCCGTTTTATGTGTATGAGTGTTTTGCCTGCATGTACGTCTGTGGGCCGTGACCCTGGCTGGTGCTTGCTGAAGCCAGAGAAGGGCATCGGATCCCTTGGAAATGGAGTTACAGACAGGTGTGAGCCACCATGTGGGTACTGGGAATTGAACTCGGGTTCTCTGGAAGAACAACCAGTGCTCTTAACCACTGAACCATCTCTCCAGCCCCATCATGTAGATGTAACCAACCATCTTATTAAATAAGAAACACAGAGCCGATTCAGAGAAGAAAGCCAAGAGGTCAGAACTAAGAGCCTTACCCTTCCTGCTTCAGCCAAGAGAGCTCTCCGAAAAAAGGGGCCTACTTCCTGTGTGTATGTATTTAAATAGTCTTTCTGTTCTGCCTTCTCATGGGTTGTAAACCCAAACACGTGACTGCCTCATCACTGCCTGTATGTACAGCCCTCCAGGTCCTCTATGGTATTGGGATTAAAGGCGTGTGTCTCCAATGTTGGCTGTATCCTTGAACACACGGAGATCTACCTAGCTCTGTCTACCAAGTGCTGGGATTAAAGGCATGCGCCACCACCGCCATGCTCTTGCTATGGCTCTAATAGCTCTGACCCCCAGGCAACTTTATTTATTAACATACAATTAAAATCACATTTCAGTACAAGTAAAATACCATCACACCATCATTTCCTAAAGTTTTTAAAAATCACATATCAGCCTGCCAGCAGAGCTGGGGAAGGCCACTGACATGGGTGTGTCGCCCTGTGAGAAGAGCTGATAAAAATGGAATATCTGAGGACCGTAGGGTAAGAAGCATGAGGCACTGGGTGTCATGCTGGGTGTGGGGATGGATGCATATAAGAAAGAAGCCACCAGGAATAATATCAAGTAATACCTTTGGTCCCCGACTTCTCTCTAAAATCGCAAGCCCCGATTATAATCGCAGGCTTATAACATAAGCACCTCATTACTTTCAGCATGTATCAGCACCCAAATGCCACGGACAATACCAACTTGGGTAGTCCTCGGAACACTTTCATTTTTCAACAACAGTCCTACAGTTTGAACCATTTAAAATCAACTATCTGGACAGGTATGGTGGCACATGCCTGTAATCCCAGCACTTGGAAGCTGGAAAGGAGCAGAGAGGTCAGGAAGCCAAGGCTAGCCTCATCTACACAGTGAGTTGGAAGCCAGCCAGAGCTATAGGAGACCCTGTCTCAAAAGGAAAATAATCATCAGCACTCGACTTCAACATGCTATGCCACTGAGGTAGTTACAGCCCCAAGCCCAAGCAGAGAAAAGAGGTCAGGTCCAAAAGAAACTTGGGACAAATGTCTAACTGATGCCCATTAGCCTATCCAAGTGACTGCTGGCCTCCAGGCTCACTCTGTACCTGTGGTTCCTCTCAGCTCTTCTCACTCCACCCCCTGCCCTAAACCTCTCCAGCTCATGGGCTTTCCTTCCCTCAGCTTCAAATTTCTCTATAGCCCTGACATTTCAATCATGCGTCCTCTTGGCCTCTTCTGTCTTGGTCACCCCTTTTGTCTTCCTCTCTCGCCCCTCCTCTCATGGCCCGGTTCAGTCTACCAGCCATGTTCGGTCTACTACTTTCTCTCCCTGCTCTGGACTCTTCCAGACACCTCAGGCTGTGCTTTCCCTCATATTTACAATGAAAACCTCCCCCCTCGAACACACCTTGGAGCGGCCATGTCCTTACGTTACACATGTGTCTCCTCATGCAGGGACTTAATAGACAGGGCAAAGACTGATGGTCGAGGCTCCCTCTTATTACAAAGTTCAGACTTTAGAGAAAAGCCATGCTCTATCCCAGAGCTGGGTGTGTCCATGCCCAATTCCTTTCTTCAAAGTAAGCGTGTTCATTCATTTCTTTGAGCCTCAGCCAGTTCTACTTGGAATTATGAAGACCTGGAACTCGAGGGGACTTCCTAACGGCATCCAGAGCCAGCGATGTGCAGGAAGATGGAGAGCAGAACTGCTCTGCAGAGATTGTGTCAGAGAGACCTGGGGAAGACCAGGATCTGCTACCACTACTTCACGCTGCTCCAAGACAGCCTGGGTTAGATAGTTTCAGTGAGGCTTCCTTGCCCAGAATTCCAGAAAAATCCAGACAAAAGCAGGACTTGCCTCCAGTCAGTCTATTGCCTTTAGGCCTAAGCCTACCCCAAGACCCAGCTACAGCCAGTGCTGTTCATTCCTGTCCTGAGTCACGGGGGTGAACCCAGGACCGTGAGGGGTATGTGATACAATATAATTTCCCTCCTGGGAAAACATGAGCAATGTCCGGAAGTCAGCAGAGAACAGAATTTGAGCTGAACTTTTCAGAAAAAAAAAAAAAAATTCTTCAGTATCACTCAGCGATTCGGTGGCCCTCGTTTCTGGCCTCGAGATGGCAAAAACAAAACCCCCAAAACGAAATCACTCCCTCCACCCTTCTTTCCTTTAGACACATGCCAGGCTGTCTGGAGATAAGTGTGCCAAACTTGGCAGGTGCTCGATTTCACCTGGCTTATTCATCAGCTCAGGTCTGCGGATCCTGACACACAACTTCAGGTGCAGTGGCTTCTCGTCACCAAGCCTCCTGATGAAGGAGGGTGATGAAATTACGCTGCTCTCAAGGAGGATGCGTGGGGTAAGTGATGTGAGGCATTTAACCTGCTACCTTCCTCTGAGTGAGCTGTCTGTCATAAGTCAATATTTATTAAGTCATGGGGCACAGAGTGAACTACGGGGGACAACAGGATGGCCTTATTTGTACCCACGGGCAGGTCTTCTGCAGTCTTAAGGACTGAATTTCTACCTCCATCCAACACACCCTAGAGCTCTCAGCGATGGCCTCCCACTCACCACACACACACACACAAAGCCAAGACAAACCCAATCACCATCACCCCCTCTCTTGGCAGCCACGGCTCCAGGCAGCAAGAAAGGCTCCCAGAGGCCTTTTGCCAATTGTCCCCTGAAGAGACTATAAACATCTCCATGCTGCCATTCAGCGCGGACATCCTGTTTACATGGGGAATGAGGATCTTGCTTGCTTTTCCTCTTCTCTTTTTCAAGCCTGTCATTATGTTTACCCAAGTCCAGCGGGTAGGTGCCAGGAGGGCTAGGAGCTGATTTCCCTGGCTAACACTGCCGTGGCGGCAGCCCCACTGACCCTTGAGTCCAGGCAGAGAGCCAGGCCTGCACACACCAACACTCTCCACACAAAGAAACCATTCTCCCCTGGCTGTTTTCTCTGCGGGCATGCTGGGATGCTCTGGGTAATTGTCTAGCAAATGTCCAAATATGTCGGCGCTATATACTTTCTGGTCAACTAGATGATGGAGGAAAAGGATGGAGAAAGGCGCTAGGGTCTATGGTAGGCCTCCCACATGCAATGCGGTGTACTGGAGCCATTTTACATACATGCCGTTTGAGTCAACGCCAGCACCTCCCAGAGAGGTATGGATCATTGCCTGATTTTCTCGGGCAAGGGAACTAGGCATAGGAGCATTCTGTTAGTGCCTGGAAGATCCAGAATCTAAGCTTGATCCACCAAGCTTTATTGTCTATTTCCTTTTAGCTTGGGGTGTAGGTATGGGAAAGGGTGAGCTTTAGAATCCTTACGTTCCTTTACAGAAGCACAATTAAGTTGCTCTGAATCAATGAATCAGGAGTGTTTTCATCCACCTCTCACCCATTCTAATGGATTTTCAAACAACACACTTAGCATAAACAGTTCTGCTTCTTAGGTGCCAAATCTGCCTATAGTTATCGAAGTCGGAGGTGAGAACCTGGGCTAGGTCAGTTCCAGCTGTGCATCCCCAGTAAGCCAATTAAAAGAGCTAAATTAAAAGAGGAAAGCCGGGCGGTGGTGGCGCACGCCTTTAATCCCAGCACTCAGGAGGCAGAGGCAGGCGTATCTCTGTGAGTTTGAGGCCACCCTGGTCTACCGAGTGAGTTCCAGGAAAGGCACAAAGCTACACAGAGAAACCCTGTCTCAAAAAACCAAAAAAAAAAAAAAAAAAAAAAAAAAAGAGGAAAGCAGAAATGGGAGATTACTCAATGAAGTCACGTTTGGAAAAGGGATCCAGAGAACCCTCACCCAAAGTCCCCATTCTGGGTCCTGAAGTGATGTCCAAAATTAAATAGAGGGTCAGGTGTAGTGGGTAGCTGTTCCGTGGGTAGCTGTTCCAGCTTTGACCTAGAAGTAATACCCCCATTGAGGCTTTGGTAACTGTCACGCCTACAAGGCAGGGCCAAGACAGGAGCCCTTAAGATCCGGATGTGCCAACTCTCTTGGTTCCTGGATCCTGGATGCTGGAGGTAGATTGAGCAGAGTTCTCCAGAGAACACCGCTGGACTGCGCTTCACCTTTCCCGGACCCTGTAACCTATCCCTTTACTTCTAAGTTACCCCACAAAATAAACCTCCCTTTTAACTACATGGAGTGGCCTTAATACTACAACCAATAGTCAGGAATATGCACATCTAAGCAGTTCTGGTCAAAGTGTGGTCTTACCGACCACTGACCCGTCTTCTGGGCTTCAGTCCCATCCCATAAGGTGTTCTAACAAGTTGTTAGAGCTGTGTGGAATCTCAAGCTTGGAACCTCTTTCTTCTCCAGCCTGAGGTACATAGGGAAATTCCCATTTCTTTGGGGGTCCATTGCTTCAATAGTTTGAGCAACAAAGTGTGTCTTTCAAATACCTCTATTTCTGTCCAGCCACTTACATACTCATGATGCCTGAAAAGTCTAGACAAAATACTTTTTAAAAAATTATGAGGATTTTAGAAATAGACAGCAGATAAGTTGTTCAGAAAGATGAAATTTGGAATCTGGAAAAGTGTTAGCATGGAGATGAGTTCTCCTTGGCTCAGTTGGAAGGTTGAACTGGCTTAGTTAGTGGGTTTAAGTGGGTTTGTTGTTGTTGTTGTTGTTGTTGGAATAATTTAGTTGATTGGTTGATTTGGTTTAGTTTATTGGTTGGTTAATTGGTTTGGTAGGTGGTTGGTTGGCTGGATTGGTTTGGTCTAGTTGATTTGGTAGGTTGCTTGCTTTGGTTGGCTCAATTAGCTTATTGATTGATTGGTTGGTTGGTCCCATTGGTTGGTTCGGTCTAGGTGATTGGTTAGTTTTGGTTGGTTGGTTGGTTTGGTTTAGTTCTTGGTTAGACTGGTTTAGTTCTTGATTAGACTAGTTTGATTGGTTGGCTTGTTGGATTGGTCGGGTTGGGTTAATAATGAATTGGTTTGTTTGGTTATATGTTTGGGTGCTGGTTTGGTTGCTAACTTCTTCTCAAGGTGATCCAGGCAGCTTTGAAGATTGTCTCCAATGATCCCCTCCCCTAGTATTTATTCCCCATGTAAGCTACCATCACCAGCTCTTGAGTCTGGGCTGAATTTAGTGTCTAGATTCTAACAGATGGAATAGACAGGGTGATGGGTGTCATTTCCAAGATTGGGTTATAAAAATATCATATTCCCTCTGTGTCTTAGTTAGGGCTTCCATTGCCGTGATAAAACACAATGACCAAAAGCCACCTGGGGAGGAGAGGGTTTATTTCACTTACAACTCTCAGGTCACGCCCCCTCCCCCATCACTGAAGGAAGTCAGGGAAGGAACTCAAGGCAGGTCCCTGGATGCAGGAACTGAAGCAGAAGCCGTGGGTGAAGGCTGCATGCTGGCTTGCTCCTCATGGTTTGCTCAGATTATTTTCTTATACTACTCAGGCCCACCTGCCCAGGGATAGCACCAATCACTGTGGGCTGGGCCCTTCCACATCAATCAGTAATCAAGAAAATTCCTACAGGCTTGCCTATGGAGGGATTTTCTCAATTGAGTTTCCCTCCTCTCAGATGACTCCTGGTTATGTCAACTTTATTTAAAAAAAGAAAGAAAAGAAAAGAAAACCTAACCCTCTCTCTCTCTCTCTCTCTCTCTCTCTCTCTCTCTCTCTCTCTCTCTCTCTCTCTCTGTTGGTGTGGGTCTCCCTCTATTCTTCCCCTCCCTCACTCTGGGGAAAACAGGCTGCTGTTATATTGTGAAGAGTCCTATGCAGAAGCTCACAGGTCACAGCCTGTGAGGGTGTCTCCTAACAGACCTGAGGGTGAGCCTGGAGCAGCTCCCCCTCTGGCTGAGCAGTGGGATGATCCCCACCCTGGGTAACATCTTGGTTACGGGTTTGTAAAAGGTGACAAATCGGGGACATTGGGCTAAACCACTGCACACACGTAGATTCCTCATCCACAGGGGCAATGAAACAAAGTTTTCTATTTTAAGCTGTTAGAGTTACAGCAAATTTATTTCCTGGCAATAAATAACTGATATAGAGTAGGGACAGACCCTAACAGAGAAGCTATGTGAGAGTACCAAGATAGACTATTACTGTCTCTAATTTCTGTAAACCCCAGGGGGGCTGACTTTAACCTTCAAAAAAAAATCTACAAAATTAAAAAAAAAAAAAAAAAACAGACTTAAACTTGTTTAAAGATATTGCCTAACAGGGCATTCACAATTTGATTGTAAGTTGTCAGAATTTGGTCTTCAGGAAAAGGTAGGGCTTGAGGAGAATAACGTAAGAGGAGGCTGACACACAGCAGAATAGTCAGCTATGGCCACTATCCTCAAGGGAGAGCAACCAGCCATCAATAATACTATAATTATAATGTGTCCAGCAGTGTGTGGGAAGAACGTGGGCTGGATAACAGGTTTGCCTACACCCAGGGATGTGTTACCCATAACACATCATTGTGACTCTGAGAGTCAGTCCACAGGAAATACACTTCCCCCTTCGGCTGTTAATAGGAAGGCACCCCCCAACCCCCACCCCTTGTAACCGGCTAGGGCTGGAGACTGCCAAGGCTAGTCAATTGTGGACTTCATGGGGGAGGGGGAAAAAAAGAACCCAAGAAAGGACTATGTGGGCCAGCATGACAAGTCCTTAAGAAAGACTGTGGTTTGCTGGGCATAGCAAGAGAATAATTATTGAAAAAAAAAAAAGTAAACCTAGGCCTCATCAAAATGTATTCCTTGCTGTGGTTAGGACCTGTGGCGAGCTGAATAATGGGCCACCAAATCCACCCACATCCGCGTTCCCGGAACTTGCAGTGTTCCCCTGTACAGCAAAAGGGACTTTGCAAATATGATCAAAAGTAGAAGGTAAGCTCTGGACTCTCTGGGTGAGCCTGGTGTTGCTGCAAGGTTACGATGGGGGGCCGGAAGTCGCAGTCCCTGGAGGAGTCGTGGTAAGGGAAGCAGACACTGGAGCGATGCACTTTGAGGATAGAAAAGCAGAGTCCCAAGACAAGCAACGAGCAGTTGCCAGCAGCCGGAAAAGGGGCAAGAGGACAGATTGTCCTCTTGGAATCTCCAGGAAGAACCAGCCCTGAGGAAATGTTAACATTCACCCAGTGAAACCCATCCGTCACGTCCGTGCTGACCTCCAGAAGAGTAACAGGATTGATTAGCTTTGTTTCCGCCGCTAATGTGGCAAGAACTGGAAGCTAATTCGGTTACTTGTTGCGGCAGCCCCTGGAAGCTAATTCAGAAACCATCAGGAAGTTGTCAGAGGAGAGCATGGAGGCCAAAGCAGAAATTGCAGGAAACAAGGGCAAACCGAGGAAGGTCTCTGTCCTAGGGAACCCACACTCGAATCCTGTCTGAAGCTGGGGCTGAAGACTGCAAGCCACAGCTCTCCTTTCCCTGGGACTGCCAAGGCTAGGCAACCTCACGAGCATTTCTCAAGAGCATTTCCTGACGAAAGCACGAGAAAGGAATGAAATGCAACTCAGGGTGTTTGTACCAATGATGCCAGCAGCTCCTCAGGGCCAACGCTTGTCGCAGAAATATTGCTCGGGCAGATTTCCATTCAAAGTGAACCTCATCTTTCCCCACAGCAACACTCGTTGTGACTGACAGATGGTGTCTACGCAAATACGTAAATGTATGTAGAAAGCACATTGCCTGCACGTTGCTTTGTAGCACAAGTAAAAAAATAAGAATATTCTGTGACATACTCGACTACACAAATACCCCAGACTTACATAGATTAAAAAAACACCTTAAACTAAAAAGTTAAGCAAGAGTTAAAAGTATAGATTTATAGCTAATATTAACTATATAATATATAATTGCAGTTTGTTATTAATGTTTGCTAATATACATTATGTAATATGGATCATTCAACCAATTACAAAATTGTGATAATAAAGCAATGATCAGGAAAAAAGTTAAATTTTATAGACAGATAATTCTTTAAAAGTGCAACCTCAGCTGGTAAAGATGGAGATTATATTATCCTCCCAGAACTCGAAGGGAGTAGTAAGTTGAAACAGGAAGGTCCATATCTTTCAGACCTCAACTGCATGAGTCAGTCATATACCTCAGGTATGGCAGATGGGTTTGTGTGAGACTCGTATTTATTTTGCTATGTTGAATGTGCTCCTGTGCTCATCTGGAC